GGCTTTCAATAATAAGAACAGTTTTAGGAATCTAGCGTGGTACACCACTATCTTCAATAATAATGTCTTCATCATTTGGCTCAGTGTTTTGGTTCAATCTGCTGTGGATAGCCAAGAAAGCTATTACAAGTAAATTGGCCAGAGCTGGCAGAAGTCCTACTGTTCCTAACATTGTTCTCCTGTTTACTTGTCTTGCTATTATGATGAAGTTGTGACTGTTTGCAGTCATCCTGTTATTTGATCAAAACTCTTCGCTGGGGAATTCCCTTGCAGTCCAGTGGTTAGGACTCCATGCTGCCACTGCAGGGGGCACTGGTTCGATCCCTGGTCAGGGAACTAAGGTCCCATGTACCATGTAGCCAAAAAGAAAAACCTGAATCATTGTGCTGTACGTCTGAAACTAACACGACATTGTAAATCAACTATACTTCAATAAAATTAAAAAAATAAAGCTCTTCTCTGAAGCTTCTATACCACTAACCTAAAACGTCATTAACAGGTGATAGTCCTGTGAGGTGAGCCAGACCTCCTGGAATAAGCCAGGGTATAACGATCCATGGGACCCACTCTAAGCCATATAGTGTCTCCTCTAGGCTCAAACCATCCCAACTATAGAGCACCAGAGAATGGTCAGTGTTGTGTTTATAAAGATGCAGTAGTCCTATGATGTGTTTCTGGGGGAATATCCACATCTGTAACGGAAGTACATCTTAAGTCTTGGTGCATACCAATGACTAGATCTGGCTTTTTTCTTTGGTTGATGGAACATGCGTTAAAACATTTTCCTTCTTCATTAGCATGTCAGTGCCGAAGGCACTGTTTGCTTCTTTCTGTTTTTCTGTATAAAAATCCTAAGCAGCAGGTTGGTTGTTGAAATAGCTTTGTGATAATTATCATCTTTATATATAGATGGTAAGTCTCCCTGGTATAGGCTAATAAAATGTCATCATTAGGTATCTTAAGAACATGTTGCAGTAATCCATGAAACTCCGCAAAATGTCCAAGTTTTGCTCTTTGTGTTGAAAACTGACAAAATCTGGTGCCAGCCTGCTCTTCTCCAGGCTGCCTGGGCGGCTGTGGTCAGGCTGAGTGCAGGAGCTGCAGCCCAGAAGTCCGCCACTCACCAGAGGCACCTGCAGAGGAGGCTTGGGTCTCAGTGCTGGGCTCCACAGGGCGGCTGGGGCCGCCTGTCTCTGTGGTGGCTGGAGGCACAACTCCGTCCTCCCTCCCTCTGCTTTGGTGGGTGCAGAGCCCTGGTGGAGGGCGATGAGGGAGCAACCAACCCATCTGCCTCTTTTCTCTCGGCTGCGTCCCCCGCAACCAGGCCTGTGGTGCCAACCAGAGAGAAGTTAGGCGAAAATATTATCGGATACATTTTGGAGAAAAAGATCACCTTAAAATATTTTATGCGTATATTAAAAATTACCTCCAGGTGTTGTTCATGAGTATGTATTTTTGCACAGCTGCAGTCTGATATACATCCTACTTTATATCCTTTACCTGTGTAAAATAACCTTTATTCTGTATATTTGACAACTTTAATAATAAAAACCTGAGGGAAATAGAAACTCTTGTATTGTGTGCAGATACCAGGTAGGTAGGTTTTCTGTTTTTCCCTCCTCTCCAACTCCCCATAGTCCCACATTATTGCTAGAGTAGCAGTCAGTTTCCTCTCTTTGGCGCATGCCTATGGCTGTCTTTACCCAGTTGATAGGCTAAATATATATATGTATATGTGTATAAATATGCATACATATAATATACATGTTTATGTTTGTGTACATATGTGTGCACACATGTATATGTACGGGTATATGTATATTTTATGTATGTACAGGTATATGTATGTGTATTTTGTGTATGTATATGTATAGGTGTATGTATATTTTAAACACATCTCACCATGTTGAAATCTTCTATACCCCTTATATAAACATATACCACTGCCTGCTGATTCTTTTTATGCTAATGTTGGCTTTCAGAGTGCCATTTTTCTTAACCACTGTTCCTTCAAGGTTCCTGACTGCCTAGCCCCTTTATGTCAAAGCTTTCTTGGACATCTTTCTCTCTGTGTATGAGAGAAAGTAAGAGTGCCTTCTTACTTTCTGCTTACCCAGTTCAGAGTCAAATTTTGCTTCACAAAGAAGCCTTAAATTATCTCAGCATACTTTATTGCACTCAGCCCTTTTCACATCCAAAACCTTCTCATTCATACCTCACTTTCTCTCTATTCACAATTCCTCTGCTCCACATATGCTTATTTTCTAAATATCATCTTTCCCACCTTCATTTCACTTAAATCCAGTTTTTAAAAATCATCTCTCTTCCCTTTCTTTTGGTACTTTTTCCCAATCTCAAGGTTTCTGTCTTTTGTCAAACAGTTTTTCTCCTTTTTAACTCTTAACCTTTCTGGTAGTGGTTTTCTCACTCTTCTACAAAAGCCCCCACTCTGATAATGTATATGCAGTGTTCAGTTGAGTGGCTCTGAATAAATACCTGCTTCTCAAACAAGAGAATTCTAAACTATTAGCATGGAAATAACCCCTGGGAAGATAAGGTCTCCACTTAAAAGCTTCAAATAGAAATTCTCCTGCTGGTGTTGAATGATGGAGCTTTATCTAATAGTATCTGAAACAGGATGACTACTTGAACCACACAAAATACTCACCATTATGAAATGAAAATAGATCATTGGTTTTACATTTCTGTCTGTTTTGACTGACCTGAGAAACAAAACTTACCACCTCAGAGAAGATAACTTTCATATGTCTGAGATTGTATTCAGCATTAATTCTTCAGGATAATTATAGACTTAGAAATGCTTAATCCTGTCTCCTGGTCCATGCCAAAGTCCCTTCCAGTGGTGAGAGGAACTCAAAATCTACAAGGCAACCCAATCCATTTTATACTGATATTGATTGTTGTAACTATTCATCCATCCCTGTACTGGGTTAAAATGTATTGACTGTAATACATATTAGCTAACTCTAATTTTGCCCTCAAGGTAAATAGAATTTGGATCCCTTTTCTACATGACAGCCTTTTAGATCTCTCAAGGTAGTTATTCTGTCCTCTCCACCGCTCTCCCTACAATTTTCTTTTCCCTTGGAGATAAATACTTGACTCTTTCAACTATTCCTCATAGGATACCACTTTCATCATCTTGATTGCTCTCTATGGATGTTGTACTTTGTTAATGTCCCTTCTAAAATGTTCAGAACTAAAAATAATACTCAGTATGTAGCTGAATTGAATCTGAATGTTGCACATCTGGACATGAATGCAGACTGAAGTTGTTTCAAGTGTTTTAGCTGCCATGTAATGTTGGCTCATGATGAATTTGTAATTAACTAAAATCCCAAGATTTTAATCTGGAGATTTCCCTTCATATGACTTCTTTCCAAACCAGGATTCCATCTTCATTTAGGCGGACAACAGATTTTTAAAGTCAGAATGTAGGGCTTTACACATATCCCAATTTTATCTCATTAGCCTGTCAGCTTCCCTTGGTTTATTTGAATTTTGATTTTTATTGTCAAGCTTATGCTGATTTAAGAGTCTTAAAGCTATCTGGGAAACAATCAAAAGTCGTGGAGACTATCTTCCAAAAATTGTTGTATGTACATATATCTCAGCTCTTGAGGTGTATATGAATTAATATAATATCTTCCAGACCCAGGGATCAAACCCAGGTCTCCTGCATTGCAAACAGATTCTTTACTGTCTGAGCTACCAGGGAAGCCCTGTATGAATTAGTGCCAGTGTAAATTAAGTCCAGGAGGACTGAAGTCCACTGCCAGCCTGCAAGATAGAAGCCTTGTGTTGAACATTAACTCCAAGAGAGATGAAGTTCAAAACATACTGTGCCAACATAATGCCAAAAGAGCTGTTAGTTCTTCCCAAGAAATCAGTTTATGTTTATATATATATATATATATATATATATATATGAAGTAGAAACAGTCATTGTGACCATTCCTTTATTTTGCCTTTGACAGGCATATACAGAGCACTGTATCATGAATAAAGTGAGATTCTGAAGAACCAGGTTTGCCTGGGGCAACTCTGATCTGTACCTCTTGTCCCAATGTAATTACTAGTAACATCATTCACTTTTAAGAGTTAAATTATTTTGGCCACTCTTCTCATAACCCAACCAGTTCACTTTAGTATTTTATCTTGGTTAAATATTACAGAGCTGTAATTTGGCAGCTCTAATGAGGCTGCAGTCGTATTTCTTTTCCATTTGAACAGATTGTTCCTTGTCCGTGGGCAATTGATAGCAAAAGTAACTGCAATTAAGGTCTACATGTGTTTAGTATTTTTTGTGAATCACCCTCTAGAGGGCACTGTTACATACATTTGAAATGATCCAGTTCCAACAAAAGTGGACTCTTATTTTACCTGAAAATCATAAACACTTGATGCTCTTAAAGAACACATTGGAACCAATGTTGTGAGTAAAACTTATCTTTTGCAAAGCAGTAGAGAAATATTAAAAATTAATTCATTAACATTCTGAGCATTTTTTTCATTGTAAAAACTGAATTTTGATGCCTTGAATATACAGTGATTCATTATAACAATTATGCATAGACTTAAGAATCTGCATATTTTATGCTTCTTTCATGTTTTTCCTAATTAATGATTTTACATGGTTAATAATTTCAACATTCTGCATCACATAGTTTCGTGTTTATATAAAATAAGCACTATAAAATGAATAGTTCTGATCTACTTGTTTAAATATTACTTTCCTTTAAAAGAGAAAACAAAAATGCTGGGTTTTACTTTATGACCTGAATCATGTGATAATGTATTCATAGAATTCTAGTATTTATAATGTTTCTTAGAGATAGTGTGATTACTTTTAAGTCATTAGTGGATAATTTGTTAGCTCCTAATAATCAAAAGTATATTGCCTATGTCTCACATTTTAGATTTCCTAATGTAATGTTCTCTTTTTAGAAAAGGTGGACAAGTCCTATTTTCAAGAGAAGATGACTTTTAACAATTTTGAAGGATCTAAAACTTGTGTACCTGCAGACATCAATAACGATGAAGAATTTGTAGAAGAGTTTAATAGATTAAAAACTTTTGCTAATTTTCCAAGTAGTAGTCCTGTTTCAGCATCAACGCTAGCACGAGCTGGTTTTCTGTATACTGGGGAAGGAGACACCGTGCGGTGCTTTAGTTGTCATGCAGCAGTAGATAGATGGCAATATGGAGACTCAGCAATTGGAAGACACAGGAAAGTATCCCCAAACTGCAGATTTATCAATGGCTTTTATTTTGAAAACAATGCTGCACAGCCTACATTTTCTGGTGTCCAAAATGGTCAGTACAAAGCTGAAAACTATCTGGGAAACAGAAATCATTTTGTTTTAGAAAGGCCACCTGAGACTCATGCACAGTATCTTTTGAGAACTGGACAGGTTGTAGATTTATCAGACACCGTATACCCAAGGAACCCTGCCATGTGTAGTGAAGAAGCTAGATTAAAGTCATTTCAGAACTGGCCAAACTATGCCCACTTAACCCCAAGAGAGTTAGCTCGTGCTGGACTCTACTACACAGGTATTGACGATCAAGTACAGTGCTTTTGTTGTGGTGGGAAGTTGAAAAATTGGGAACCTTGTGATCGTGCATGGTCAGAACACAGGCGACATTTTCCTAATTGCTTCTTTGTTTTGGGCCGGAATATGAATATGCAAAGTGAATCAGATATCATGAGTTCTGATAGGAATTTCCCAAATTCAACAAATGCTCCAAGAAATCCAGCCATGGCAGATTACGAAGCACGGATCATTACATTTGGGACGTGGATGTACTCAATTAACAAGGAGCAGCTTGCAAGAGCTGGATTTTATGCTTTAGGTAAACTTTATTATAAAACTAGGCTAATAAATAACTTTCCAACTGTCTCAGGGCTCCTAAAAAGTAAATAGGTGCCATTTGCCCCCCAAACTGGTAATATTTAGGTGTAAGCTGGCATGGTTAATTTATGTTAGTATTCTGTGAACTCTTATGTTGAATCTGTAATATACCACAGGAATTTATGTGGAAAAGACTACCATATTATGAGTAATATGTACCTTTGTGTAACTGTCTTTTGGAGAAGAATGACATGCAAAAGATGATAGATATCCCTGCTAGAAGAATAGGTCTGATAGTAATACTGACTATAATTTATTGCACACCTGTATGTGCTCAGTAGATGTATTACATGCCTTTTCTCTGTGCCTCACAACAGCCCTGTAAGAAGAGTTAACAGTAGAGTTTACCTTGGCTGATGTTAAAAGTGATACCTGCTTTTTGTACATAGACTATATACTTGAAAGCAGCCCTATATATTTGAAAGATGTCTTATTGCTTAAAATGAGCACTTTTCAAATGGACTGCTGTAGACATGTCAGTTGGAGAAGGAAATGGCAACCCACTCCAGTATTCTTGCCTGGAAAATCCCAGGCTTTTTACAGAAGAGCCTGGTGGGCTACAGTTCATGGGGTCGCAAAGAGTCAGACATGACTGAGTGAGCACAGACATGTAAGTAGGGAAGGAAAGGCCATCAGTGTGATGGCTTCCAGGAATATTCAGAAAAATTATACCATTATATATCTAACCCATTTACTTTAAAATTGAATAATGCCCCAAACCAAAATATGGATTATTTCTATATTTTATTTACTTAGTATCATATGACAGTCTTGAAAGTTTATTGTCATATAGCTATAACCTTAGAGAAATTTATCCTGTAATTTCATTATATTCAACGTTATTGTTAAAGTTCTATAGTTTGAAAAAGTAAGTGTAGTATTGATGACCCCAAATGACATGTTGTTAATAAAGTAATTACAAAGTTTTTACATAAAAATTGAGAAAATTTTATTTTTGTCTCCTGTAAGTGTTAGTCACTCAGTCGTGCCCCACTCTTTGTGACCCCATGGACTGCAGCCCACCAGGCTCCTCTGTCCATGAGATTTTCCAGGCAAGGATCCTGGAGTAGGTTGCCATTTCCTTCTCCAGGGGATCTTCCCAACCCAGGGATCGAACCCGGGTCTCCTGCACTGCAGGCAGATAGTTTACTGACTGAGCTACAAGGGAAGCCTCCTATAGGATACCTCAGATTGAATCAGTAAATTTAGTGTGTGTTTCCTCTTCAAATGATCTTATCTATCACTTAGATGTGAATTCAGATGTCTTCTTTTAAGGTGTGAGCTTTTCATGTAATTTAGAAATGCTTAATTTGATAGTATTTAAAAGGCTGTTCTTGTGTAAGGTTGTAATTGCACAAATACATGTGTTTTTACTTGTGTGTTTCTTAGGTGAAGGTGATAAGGTAAAGTGTTTTCACTGTGGAGGAGGGCTAACTGATTGGAAACCCACTGAAGACCCTTGGGAACAACATGCTAAGTGGTTTCCAGGGTAAGATGTTTAAATGTTCATTCAGTGACAGGCAGGTTGGCCAGTGCATGTGCAGTGGGAAGACTTGAATAACTTTTCACCTCAACTATTTTTACCTTCACCAATGGCTTGAAATTCACACCATGTTTATAAAAACGGGGTCAACTACTTATATACGTTAAAAAAAAACACCTAAGCCTTTTCCAGTGACCAAAACATTCATCATTTATATATCATACCTGTGACATTCAGATGATGCTATTTTTTTCTTCCCAATTATTTTTATTAAGTTGGAGGCTAATTACTTTACAATATTGTAGTGGTTTTTGCCATACATTGACATGAATCAGCCATGGATTTACATGTGTTCCCCATCCTGAACCCCCCTCCCACCTCCCTGCCCATCCCAGTGGGTCATCCCAGTGCACCAGCCCCGAGCATTTGTCTTATGCACAGATGATGCTATTTCTAAACACAAAATTAGGAATATATGCTTTTATTTTTGTTGGAAGTAGGCTCTTTAATGATGGGCATGAGAGCCCATGTTATCAAGGAGATTCCTTAAGAACCCATCACACCCCCTAGCAAATATTACTTAATATCACTGATTCTAAGGCATACAGTTAATCACATTTTCAGCTCTGAAGTCAGGACACATCTGGTGGTGGGTCATAATTTAATTGGCAGTGGTGATACACAGTATAGTAGTATACATGTATGCATATTACACATAGTATAATCATGCTGCTTACGGTCAGTGGCATCTTAGAATGATGGCGTATTCTAAGTGTATCTCTGCCATCTTGCCTCTTTAAGGCACACAGATGTGTAGTGTACAGTGATGTGAATTTTTGGCCTATAAAATAGTACAACTTAAAACTTCAGAATGATTTGGAAGTAAGTCTTAACCTTAAACAGTCTTGAAAGGCTGAAAGCCTAAAAGATTCCTTTAAAATGTATAATTGGTTAATCTCTAAATTAAACTCATTAAGATGAACTAAGACTTGTTTTTAAATGTCAAGGTGCTAGTTTAATAACTTGTTTAAAAGCTGAACGTTCTCAAGTTGATATTTTTGCTCTACTAATATTAGCAAGGAGATCCAACCAGTCCATCCTAAAGGAGATCAGTTCCTGGGTGTTCATTGGAAGGACTGATGCTGATGCTGAAACTCCAATACTTTGGCCACCTGATGTGAAGAGCTGACTCATTGGAAAAGACCCTGATGCTGGGAGGGATTGGGGGCAGGAGGAGAAAGGGGACGACAGAGGATGAGATGGCTGGATGGCATCACCGACTGGATGTACATGAGTTTGAGTAAACTCCGGGAGTTGGTGATGATCAGGGAGGCCTGGCGTGCTGCGATTCATGAGGTCGCAAAGAGTCACAACTGAGTGACTGAACTGAACTGAACATTAGCATGTTAGGATAACAAAGGGAACATTTTTTAACATTAAAATGATAGTTGGATAGTGAATTGAGTAGCATTTTATTTTGTGGATCTTTAGAAATATAAAAAAGCAAGTTAATAGAATTAAGATGATGAAGATTCTATCTTTACTTATACTTTACTAATTGATGAGCTACTAAAGTTTAACCTTCTTTTATTTGTTTAGCTGTAAATATCTGTTAGAAGAGAAGGGACAAGAATATGTAAACAATATTCATTTAACCCATTCAATTGAGGAGTCTCTGGTAAGTCACATATTGTAGAATACACATTTTCAAATATTATGTAATTTGTTTTGTGCATTTCTTGGTGTAAAATTCACAGTATAGTATTTCAAATTAATAATGTATGATGAGCCTAAATGGGAGATCTTGAAGAGTGCTTGTTTTTCTCAAGCTGAAGCAAATTTGTGAAAAGGAGATCAGGATGAACCGAATTAAGTATCACTGTAGGCGAAAACGGACTTGAAGAACTAAAACATTTAAATCCCTCAGCCTTCTGAAATTAGACTTGTATAATGTGTTTTGTACTGATAGTTTTTAACTTTTCACAGACAGTATTTAAAATCTCAAAAACATGCCTAAATTGATAGTGTGGCCTGGGGTGGCTAAGGCATCAGTACTTTGTGGAAAGAGCCCTGGACTAGAATGGGACACAAGAGTTGCCATTATGGCCCTGCCATAAACTGTTTAATCTCCCTGAGCCTCAGCTTCTTGTCTGTAAAGTGAGTGGACTGGAATCTTTTAACTTCCAGCTTCATCAGGCTATGCCTCTTGTGAATATTCATATGTTGAATTGGAATAAAGCTAATTTATAAATTCATGATAAACATAATTTTTCAAATTGAGGTAATTGCCTTCTACCAAAAAGAATTCTAACTTATAATTCTTATTTGTATTTTAGGTGGGAACTGCTGAAAATGCACCATTGTTAACTAAAAGAATTGGTAAATATCCTTTTTAAAATATTTTAATTTCATTGCCAATTTATTACAGTTATTATTTATAAGGTAGAAAGGTAAGCCGATTTTTTCAAGGTATTTTTCTTTGAGAGAAGATTGCTATAAACTTACTAATTAATGAAGTGCCTGTACATTTCAGTTCAGTCGCTCAGTCAAGTCTGACTCTGCGACCTCATGAAGCACAGCACGCCAGGCCTCCCTGTCCATCACCAGCTCCCAGAATCCACCCAAACCCATGTCCATCGAGTCGATGATCACATCCAACCATCTCATCCTCTGTCGTCCCCTTCTCCTCCTGCCTTCAATCTTTCCCGGCATCAGGGTCTTTTCAAATGAGTCAGCTCTTCACATCAGGTGGCCAAAGTACTGGAGTTTCAGCTTCAACATCAGTCCCTCCAATGAACACCCAGGACTTATCTCCTTTAGGATGGACTGGTTGGATCTCCTTGCAGTCCAAGGGACTCTCAACAGTCTTCTCCAACACCACAGTTTAAAAGCATCAATTCGTTGACACTCAGCTTTCTTTATAGTCCAACTCTCACATCCATACATGACCACTGGAAAAACCATAGCCTTGACTAGACGGACCTTTGTTGGCAAAGTAATGTCTCTGCTTTTCAGTATGCTCTCTAGGTTGGTCATAACTTTCCTTCCAAGGAGTAAGCGTCTTTTAATTTATTTTTTTTTCATTTATTTTTATTAGTTGGAGGCTAATTACTTTACAATATTGTAGTGGGTTTTGTCATACATTGACATGAATCAGCCATGGTTTTACATGTATTGTAAGCGTCTTTTAATTTCATGACTGCAGTCACCATCTGCAGTGAATTTGGAGCCCAGAAAAATAAAGTCTGACACTGTTTCCACTGTTTCCCCATCTATCTGCCATGAAGTGATGGGACCGGATGCCATGATCTTAGTTTTCTGAATGTTGAGATTTAAGCCAACTTTTTCACTCTCCTCTTTCACTTTCATCGTGAGGCTCTTTAGTTCTTCCTTACTTTCTGCCATAAGGATGGTATCATCTGCATATCTGAGGTTATTGATATTTCTCCCGACAGTCTTGATTCCAGCTTGTGCTTCTTCCAGCCTAGCGTTTCTCATGATGTCCTCTGCATAGCAGTTAAATAAGCAGGATGATAATATACTGCCTTGACGTACTCCTTTTCCTCTTTAGAACCAGTCTGTTGGTCCATGTCCAGTTCTAACTGTTGCTTCCTGACCTGCATACAGGTTTCTCAAGAGGCAGGGCAGGTGGCCTGGTATGCCCATCTCTTTCAGAATTTTCCACAGTTCATTGTGATCCACACAGTCAAAGGCTTAGGCATAGTCAATAAAGCAGAAATAGATGTTTTTCTGGAACTCTCTTGCTTTTTCGATGATCCAGCGGATGTTGGCAATTTGATCTCTGGTTCCTCTGCCTTTTCTAAAACCAGCTTGAACATCTGGAAGTTCACAGTTCACATATTGCTGAAGCCTGGCTTGGAGAATTTTAAGCATTACTTTACTAGCCTGTGAGATGAGTGCAATTGTGCAATAGTTTGAGCATTCTTTGGCAGTGCCTTTCTTTGGGATTGGAACGAAAACTGACCTTTTCCAGTCCTGTGGCCACTGCTGAGTTTTCCAAATTTGCTGGCATATTGAGTGCAGCACTTTCACAGCATCATCTTTCAGGATTTGAAATAGCTCAACTGGAATTCCATTACCTCCCCTAGCTTTGTTTGTAGTGATGTTTCCTAAGGCCCACTTGACTTCACATTCCAGGATGTCTGGCTCTAGGTGAGTGATCACACCATTGTGATTATCTGGGTCGTGAAGATCTTTTTTGTACAGTTCTTCTGTGTATTCTTGCCACCTCTTCTTAATATCTTCTGCTTCTGTTGGGTCCCTACCATTTCTGTCCTTTATTGAGCCCATCTTTGCATGAAAGATTCCCTTGTTATCTAATTTTCTTGAAGAGATCTCTAGTCTTTCCCATTCTGTTGTTTTCCTCTATTTCTTTGCTTTGATTGCCGAGGAAGACTTTCTTATCTCTGCTTGCTATTCTTTGGAACTCTGCATTCAAATGGGTATATCTTTCCTTTTCTCCTTTGCCTTTAGCTTCCTATCTTTTCACAGCTATTTGCAAGGCCTCCTGAGACAGCCATTTCGCTTTTTTGCATTTCTTTTTCTTGGGGACGGTCTTGATTCCTGTCTCCTGTACAATGTCACCAACCTCCATCCATAGTTCATCGGGCACTTTGTCTATCAGATCTAGTCCCTTAAATCTATCTCACTTCTACTGTATAGCATAAGGGATTTGATTTAGGTCATACCTGAACGGTCTAGTGGTTTTCTCCACTTTCTTCAATTTCAGCCTGAATTTTGCAAGAAGGAGTTCTTGATCTGAGCCACAGTCAGCTCCCGGTCTGTTTTTTTCTGACTGTATAGAGCTTCTCCATCTTTGGCTGCAAAGAATATAATCAGTCTGATTTCGGTGTTGACCATCTGGTGATGTCCATGTGTAGAGTGTTCTCTTGTGTTGTTGAAAGAGGGTGTTTGCTATGACCAGCCTGTTCTCTTGGCAGAACTCTTATTAGCCTTTGCCCTGCTTCATTCTGTACTCCAAGGCCAAATTTGCCTGTTACTCCAGGTGTTTCTTGACTTCCCACTTTTGCATTCCAGTCCCCTATAATGAAAAGGACATCTTTTTTGGATGTTCGTCTAGAAGGTCTTGTAGGTCTTCATAGAGCTGTTCAACTTCAGCTTTTTGGCATTACTGATCAGGGCACAGACTTGAATTACCGTGACATTGAATGATTTGCCTTGGAAACGAACAGAGATCATTCTGTTGTTTTTGAGATTGCATCCAAGTACTGCATTTCGGACTCTCTTGTTGACTATGATGGCTACTCCATTTCTTCTAAGGGATTTCTGCCCACAGTAGTAGATATAATGGTCATCTGGGTTAAATTCACCCATTCCAGTCTGTCTTAGTTCACTGATTCCTAGAATGTCGACATTCACTCCTCATCTCCTGTTTGACCACTTCCAATTTTCCTTGATTCATGGACCTAACATTCCAGGTTCCTATGCAATATTGCTCTTTACAGCATCAAATCTTGCCTTTATCACCAGTCCCATTCACAACCGGTTGGCCTTAGGAAGTATCACTATGAACAAAGCTAGTGGAGGTGATGGAATTCCAGTTGAGCTATTTCAAATCCTAAAAAATGATGCTGTGAAAGTGCTGCACTCAATATGTCAGCAAATTTGGAAAACTCATCAGTGGCCACAGGACTGGAAAAGGTCAGTTTTCATTCCAATCCCAAAGAAAGGCAATGCCAAAGAATGCTCAAACTACTGCACAATTGCACTCATCTCACATGCTAGTAAAATAATGCTTAAAATTCTCCAAGCCAGGCTTCAGCAATACATGAACTGTGAACTTCCAGATGTTCAAACTGGTTTTATGTACTGGGAACATTCGTTCAGAGGTTGAACAGATTTTCCAAGTTCGAGAGGAACAACTGTAGGCTGTACATTTTCGTTTCTGTTAAAATCCCCCAAAAAAGAGTTAAGTGAATTTTTGTCAACAGAGTTTCTTTAGTTAGCCAAGATCATGAATCCAATGTCCTATTGATATGCTATTACCATGATCAGCCCTAACCTACCTGTTCCTTATTAGATGCCTCTTTTTGCCTTCCCCAGCTTCTTCATAAAGGGATGTGGTTTGGTTTGTTTATATCCTATTGCCTTTTTAGAAAGGTAGAGATATTTTTTTAATCACAAAGATTGTTTACTCATCATAGACATCTTTACAAACTAAAAGTGTGCAAAGAAAGATGTTAAACAAGAATGACATTATTATCCAACTTTTCAGAGAGGTTAAGTGACCAGCCCACAGTTGCAATAGTGGTCTTCAGAATCCTACATCACACTACAGACCTCATTCTCAACCTAGTCATCGTGTTTTAAATATAATAGTTTAGTTTAAAATATGTCTGGTGATTCCCCATTCCCTATACTCATGTTGTTGTTGTTAATTACTAAGTTGTGTCTAACTGTTTTGCGACCCCATGGACTGTAGCCCACCAGTCTCCTCTGTCCATGGGATTTCCCAGGCAAGAGTAGTGGAGTGGATTGCCATTTCCTTCAGGGGATCTTCCTGACCCAGGGATCAAACCCACATCTCCTGCATTGGCAGGCATGTTCTTTACCACTGAGCCACCAGGGAAGCCCTCCCTATACTTAAAGTATCGTCTATTTAGTATCTTAAAGATTAGAAGACAAGAGAATACTATATATGTACATATATATGCTTTTGACTGAGACTCTTGCTCTGGTTTAGGATTAGTGTTTTTAGTTGATTTGCATTTCCCTGATATCTAACAATGTTGGGCATTTTTTTCATATGCTTTTGGGCCATTTGTATGTCTTCTTTGGAAAAATATTCATCTCCTTTGCCTTTTTTTAGTTGGATTACTTGATTTTTTATTATGGACTTGGAATAATTCTTTATATATTTTAGTTTTTTATACATATAAGTCCCATGTCAAGTATATGATTTGCAAATATTTTCTCCGATTCCATGGGTTGTCTTTTCACTTTCTTGTTAGTGTCCTTAAGAGTTTTATGCTTTTAGCTCTTACATTCAGGTCTGTGATCCATTTTGAGTTAATATTTTGTATATGGTATGAGGGAGAGGTTCATCTAACCATCACCCAGATCAAGATACAGAACATCTCTACCACCCTGGAAAGCTCCTTCAGGCCCCTTCACAATCGATATTTACCCTCAAGTTATATCCTGACTTCTATTACCATAGATTTGATTTGAACATCTTAAAAATGTAATCATACAATATGTACTCCATTGTCTCTGGTTCATCATTATGTTGATGTTTTGCTTATCATGTCTGTGTGATTGATCCATGTTGTCTGTGGCAGTAGTTCATTCTTCTTCCTTGCTGTTTAGTATTTGAATATACCACAATTTACTTATCCATTCACCTGATAAATGACACTTGAGTTATTTCCAGTTTGGGGCTGTTATAAATAACACTGCTATGAATATTCTTGTGTATGTCTTTTGTGGGTATATGTACTCATTTTTAATACTGAAGAGTGGGGAATTCCTGAAGGCCTAGTGGTTAGGACTTGGCACTTTCACTGCTGGGGGGTGGGGGAGGGAGGAGGGCATGTTCAATCCCTGGTCAGGAAACTAAGATCCCTCAAGCTGCACAGCTTGGAAAAGAAAAAAGGAAAAAAAAATACCCAAGAGTGAAAGTGATGAGTCAGAGGATAGAAGTCTCTTTTAGCACATCACTACACAATCTGGTAAGATTAGTATTCGTCAGGCAGACAAAAGATTTAAGAACTTTGCCCAGGGAGGAGAGTGAACAAAGGCACGAAGTCAAAGCAGAGAGACTGTCTCCTCCTGGAACTAGAAGTAATTCCTTTGATTTACACCTAGGAATTGGAAGGCCAAGAGTTCTACTAAGCTCTTCCCAGGTGGCTCAGTGGTAAAGAATCCACCTGCCAATGCAGGAGATGCAGGTTGGATCCGTGGCTCAGGAAGGTCCCCTGGAGAAGGGCATGGCAACCCACTCCAGTAATTTTGCCTGGGAAATCCCATGGACAGAGGAGCCTGGCAGGCTGCAGTCCATAGGGTTGCAAAGAGTGGGCACAACTTAGCGACTAAACACCACCACCACCACCACCACCATCTGTAGTCCTACCTTGAGCGTCATTAAAGTGAGTTTGTATTAGGTTTCTTGCCTTATCTAGTCTACCCACTCAACTGCAGAAACTAAGTCTGAGAGATAGGAAACTGATACATTGAAGGTCACAGACTGGAACTTCTTCTATTTCCCATGATAATTGTGGTGACTTGGTAAAGAGGTCCACAGTTTCAGAATTTTTGAAGCACTTAACCCTTTTTGTACCTGTTTTACCTTGTCTTGTACTTTTTATCATAGTCTTTAAAGCACCTAATCTCAATTCCTAATACTACAAATACATACTCATTGTACTTTCAACTATTTTAAGAATCTGAAAGTGATTCTTCAGTGCCTAAATATTTCTAAATCCTCTTCCCAAAGCAGCTTTGGTTTGCTGGTTTGGTTTTGATTTTTTTGCTTGTTGCTTAAGTTTTTCTTCTTAATGATACTCTGCTATTGTGTTAATGAAAATAAAGTCTGTGATTTTTTTCCTTACCAATTTTCATTTCAGATGATACAATATTCCAAAATCCTATGGTACAAGAAGCTATACGAATGGGATTCAGTTTCAAGGACATTAAGAAAACAATGGAGGGGAAAATTCAGACATCTGGGAGCAACTATAAATCACTTGAGGTTCTGGTTGCAGATCTAGTGAATGCTCAGAAAGACAATACACAAGATGAATCAAGTCAGACTTCATTACAGAAAGGTATGCATGCCTGTGTTGTAAAAGCAAGACACACCTAGTATTTCATTATGGATAGTATCTTATATGACTATGTGGCCCATGCATTTTCCTCCTCTCGTATTTCCCCTTGGATAAATGTTTAATTTTTAAACTTTTTATTATGAAAGATGTCAAACATACTCAAAAGTGGAGAGAACAGTATAATGAACCCTCAGATACCCATCAGCCAGCCTCAATAATTCAATCTCGCTTCCTTTCTTCCCCCAACTTTGTTTTTTGCTGTAGTATTTCAGAGTAAATCCCAGACATCCTATATACCACTTGCCTATAAACACTTCAATAACTAGGGACATTTTTTTTTAACATGACCTTAATACTGTGTGTTAATCTGCTCAGACTGTTATAACAGTATCATAGACTGGGTGGCTTAGACAGCAGACATTTGTTTCTTATACTTCTGGAAGCTGGGAAGTCCAAGGTGCAGGCAGATTTGGTTCCTGGTGAAAACTCTCTTCTAGGCTGGCAGATGGCTGCCTTCTCTGTCCTCGCTTGGCCAAGAGAGATAGCATTCTGCTTTCTGTTCCTCAACATTGATCCCATCATGGAGTCCCATCATCATGACCCCATGTAAACCAAATCACCTTTCGAAGGCCCTACCTCTAAGCACCATCACATAGGGTGTGAGGGCTTCAATGTGAGTTTTGGAGAGAAAGACATTTAGCCCATAATATACTATTGTAACACTTAACAGAATTAACAGTAATTCCATAATATCATCTGAAATTCAGTTGATTTTAATTTTCCTCATCATCTTAAAATGTTTTTACATTTGATTTGTTCTGATCAGGATCCAAATAAGATCTACTGATCTATTAATTTTAAAAGTGTAAGTTTATGCTCTATTTTAGGTAAAGAACAACAAAGGCTAACTTTTATCATTGCGTGTAGACTCTAAGTTTTGTAGTTGAAACTGCTTGGATTTAGAGTATTTTGTAACTTTCCACATGATATAAATATGTAAAAGGGTCATACTGCTAAATAGAGCTTGAATTAAATGCATTTAATACTGTGATTCATATACAAAGTGTATTGAATAATGTAGAAGTATATAATCATTCTCTAAGCTTTTGACCACCTCTACCAAAAAATGAGAATTCTCCAAGTGCTAATGAACTTAAAAGTTCACTTATTTTGTTTTTTACATTCAAGACCCTTTTGATCTTTAAGTTATTTCAGATGCTTTTGAAACATTATTCAGATAATCAAATAAGTCATAAGGCAGTATAATATTGATGAGTTTTAAATAACTCTAGTTGGTGTAGAAGATTCAGCAGAAAGCAGACTACTCTTTTCCTTAAAGATACATTAATTTAAAAAAAAGATACATTAATTTAAAACCTATAATAGCTCCTCTTGTCTTGGCGATGGTGAAACAAATCATTTACTTTGTGATACAAGTGAATGTGTCATTTTCCCCTGCATCTTCACCAGTCTCAAACTTAATTTAAGTTTGACAGTAAGGTGTTAATTTTTATACCTGAAGGTGTTTACAGCAGAAAGATTTAGTGGGTTGCAGTAGGAAGAGAACAAAGGACAGGGTGCATCGGGGGATGTCTCTATTCAACAGGAGTTTGTGGGAAGTTCTCATCATTACTGAGATTACAAGCTGGGGTCGTGTGGGAAAGAGGGCCTAAGTTAATGCCAGTTCTCAAGGGCACACGTTAGAATTCATCAGTTGACGTCTCCTTAGTCTCACAAAATTGAGAGGCAGGTCATTGATACAGGCAAGCTTTTCATGAGGGGGCTGCTGTCTATTTCTCCTCCCAAAAGCTGATGAGGAAAACTGGCACTAAGATCTTTTAATTCTGTACAAAATAGAGGGTGGGTCTAATTGAAGTAAAAGCAGATGAAATTTACTAGAAAAAAATATAATGTTACTCACTAAGAAATCCTAGATTCAATACTAGCTTTTATACCATTGTCTCTGTAACAGAGAATGCCCCAGTCTTCTAAAGTGAAGTCGCTCAGTCGTGTCCGACTCTTTGTGACCCCATGGACTGTAGCCTACCAGGCTCCTCCGTCCATGGGATTTTCCAAGCAAGAGTACTGGAGTGAGTTGTAAAGATAGTAACGAATTAGTATCTTTTCCCCTTTCTTTTTAAAAATGACATTGTATGATATAAAGCCCTTTACTTCATGTGTGTGGTAAGACACTTATTTTAATCCTTACATATATATGATAGAACGTGATGTAAAATTCAAATAACCCATGCATATTTCTTACCAGTCTGTCTTTCCACATAGATATGCTCTGATTGGAACATGAATAACATCAGTTTATTCTACAAGTGGTTTATAGTAATGTAGTAAAAATATTAGCAGATACCATGAAAAATTATCTAGCTATTGCCTTTATTGCTATGTGCCAGGTACCTCCCAACCTAGAAGAGGGTTTTGTGGCACGTAGAGGGGGAAGGGTGGCTCAGGAAAAGATGTAGAACCCAGTGGTTACTCTTTAGGCTAGAGTGAAGTAAAAACTCTTAGTCTGGGAAAAAATGCCCAGAGCATCACCATCTCAAGTAAATGTCTGTATGCACTGTAATATGGAACTGTAAACAATCAGAACCAATCAAAACCAAAGGAACCTTAAATATCCTATAATAATTTTCATTACTTCAGAGAAAACTGAGGTGCTGATGAACTGTTACTCAAGATCACACAGATAGTTGGGAGTAAAATTCTGGTTTCCTGACTTATGGTCCAGTGGTGTTTTTGTGTTTTTTTTTAAATTGTGGGTAATTCCCTGGTGGTTCTATGGTTAGGACTTGACACTTTTAGTACCAAGGACCCAGGTTCAATCCCTGGTCCAGGAGGTAAGATCCCACAAGTCACGTGGTGTGGCAAAAAAAAGATAAATACACATAAAATTTACCCTCTGAGCCATTTTTAAGTGTACAGTTCAGTAGTTTTAAGTACATTCACATTGTTGTGCAGTCAATCTCCAGAGCTCTTTTCATCTACAAAACTGAAACTCTTTATCTTTTAAACAGCTTCCATTTTCCCATTCCCCTAGCAGCCACCATTCTGCTTTCTGTCTCTGTAAATTCGACTACTGTAGGTATCTGATCCAGTGTCCTTTTTTATTCTTTGTAGCATCACATGCAAAAGTAATGTGTAAATTAATTGTTTTCCTCTTCATGATTTTTTTTGGATTACAAAGGTAGTTTTATAAAACACTTCAAAGGGGTCCCCTCACCCCCAGGACTGGCCTGGGGGAGGGAGACTACCTGAGAGGAGGGAACCCCAGAAGAGACCTGCTGTGGACTCCGGGCAAAAGGAATGCCTGGTACTGGGGGCTGTGAGCATGACAGGAGGAAGTGTACTGGGACAGGCTCCAGGCACACAGGCGAAGCGCGAGAAGATTGGACAAAAAGCCACAAAGTTACTTGGGTTGCTTCTTTTCATTTGCCTTTTTCAGCTTTTGCTGCCTGATCTGCTTGTGGACCACAGCAGAAAGCTTGTCATCTCAGTGTTTTCTCTTAACCAAGTCACTCTGCTTTTCCATATTCCTCTAGCAGGCTGGCTTTCGCTGGTTGCCACAGTCTTGGTGATGGCAGAAATACACACTATTCTGACTTTTTTGGTCAGATGCATCCATATAATATAAATCAGTTTATAATGCCATCCCTTTACTTTTGTTGTTTGCTATGCCCCGAATGCCTTTTTCCCGTTTGTATACCTAATATTCCCCACTGCACCCCTGATTCCCTAAACCTATTTCTTGAATTTGTCCTTCAAGGCTCAGCTCAAAGGTCACTCTTTGAAGTTTCCCCAAAGACCCATAGCACACTTTGCAGCGTCCTCTTTTCTACTCTCTCTGTTAAAGCATTTGTAACGTTGTTTTGGAACTTTTTCTGTCCCCTCCTATCTGTTAGGCTTCTTGAGGACAGGCAGTTTATCTTTCTTATCTCTATGTTCCATATTTGAGTTTTGAATTATGCCCAGGAGGTTGCCTTTTAAGAAAAAAAGGGATCAAATAATCCTTTTCTCCATGACTAGCCAAGAAAACCTTACTGAAGCAATTCTGGTATCTTTTTCCAGGTTAAAACCTTTCACTGGCTCTGGGGCCCTCGGTGTCAAGTCCAAACTCCTTTCCATGGGTTACCAGATCCTTCATGACCAGGCTCCTGCTAACCTTCTCTAGCCTCATGCTGTAGTCTCATGCTATTTCCCCTTTACATTCTCTTCCCAAACCTTACCTGTGCACTTGCAGGCCTTATTCTGTTTCTCTCCTTGGAACCTCCCTATATCATTTCCTCTGCCCAGAGCCCTCTTCTCCCACTGCTCTTGTCCCCCAAGGTCTAAGGTCTTCTCCCTCTCTTAGTTTGCTCCTACTTATCCTTTAGGACCCAATTTAGGTATAATTTTTTTCTGGAAGGCCTTCCCTCTGTGTTCGTGTACATGGATACACAGCCTTCCTACATTCTTCATAACATATTGTAATTACTTTAATCATTACATTGTATTATAATTTCCTGCCTGCTTGTGTTCCTGACTTGTCTATGAATAGATTAGGAGCCCAGGATCTATATATGTGTTAATCTATCTCTAATGCCTAGAACCTAGCTAAGTGTTCCATAAGCATTTGTTGAATAAAATTAAACCATTGTTTCCCAAACTTGTTTTCAAAATAGTGTTCCCCAGAATGTTAAGAGATGTCATGAAAAAGGAGCTCTGTAGTTAAATAGGGAATGCATTTTGAATTTCTAAGAGGGCATATATGCTTTATTATACTGCCCTCAACTTGATAGCCATGGTTCAGAAATGCCAGTGTGCTCAACCCCAGAAATATTAGATTGAGTGAATGGGGCCCAGGAATCTATTGTTTTTTTTTTTTAATGCCCCTAGTCATTCTCATGTGAAGCTAAATTTGGAAACCACTGGTATACAGTGATCACAAAGATTGTCAAAATATGTAATACATTTGGAATCATGCCTAGCACATAGTAGAAGTGCTGTATTACTTTTAACTGCTGCTATTGCTGATGTTGTTGTCATAGTTATATATGATTGTGAAACATATTCTTGTGCCACATTTGTTAACATTTCTCAAAACTAAGTTTGACAAAGGCTGAATTAAACAAGAACTTCAGTGCCACCTGTATATTGATGATGCCCAGGTTTCTATCTTTAGCCCTGATTTCTTCTGACCTTAAGACTTAACTCTCCGATCACCTACTGGACATTTTTATATGGATGCCCTGCAAACACCTCAGAAATATCTTAAAAATCCCAAACCTGTACCTCCATTTTTATTTCCTATTGGCACTACCATCCCCTTGTCAGCCATGCTAGAAATCTTGAAATCAACTTTTATTTCCTCTTTCTTCTTCACCCTTCACATCTAATCACTAAATCCTACTTGTCCCATTTCACAAGTGGCCCTCCACTTCCATCTCTCCATTTCTGGAATAAGCCGTGCCCTTTCAATATGCTGCTACTTTTACCTAACCCTTGCTTCTCTGCTTAGCAAATTGCTGTTTTTAAATGTCACTCTTCCATTTCCCCCCTTCCCCACCCAATAGCCACCAACCTGTGAAACCTTCCCCACCTAACCTTAACAGAACTTGTTCTGTTGCCTTGTCCCAGAGCACTTTGTAACTTTATTACAGCACTTATCACTCTGTACTTTGTGCTTACTCCTGTAGCTTCAGCTCACATCCTTCTCTCCCACTAGCCTGTGAACTGCTTAAGAGTAGATGCCATGTGTGAGTTATCCCATCTCCTGACACTTGATCAGCAGCACATATTAGGGGTTCACACTGTTGCAGTGAATTTAACCAACTCAGAAAGTCTAAAATTAACACGTTTTTTTCTCTTTGTACAGACATTAGTACTGAAGAGCAGCTAAGGCTCCTGCAAGAGGAGAAGGTTTGCAAAATCTGTATGGATAGAAATATTGCTGTCGTCTTTATTCCTTGTGGACATCTGGTCACTTGTAAACAGTGTGCTGAAGCAGTTGACAAGTGTCCCATGTGCTACACAGTCATTACTTTCAAGCAAAAAATTTTCATGTCGTAATCTAACTACAGTAGGCGTCTTATGTTCTTATTACCCTGATTGAATGTGTGATGTGAACCAACTTGAAGAAATCAGCATTGAATTCCATTAGCATTTGCTGCAAAGTAGGAAGGAAATGTAAGCTGCGATGTTATAGTTGGCAGTCTAAAATTTGAATTTCTGGATTTTTCAGGATGTTAACTGTATTAGCTGTTCTATTTTTTTCCCACTGTTATTTAATTGAAACCCTAGACTAAGAAGCATCATATTGTAACTGATCACAATGTGTGTTTTATAGTACACTGACTTAGTTTTCTAAATGTAAGTGAATTAATCAATTGAATTTTTCATTCATTTTGGATAGACTTAACAAATAGAGCGTTCTGTATGAATGTGGAGATTAGAGTTGATCTCCCCAATCACATAATTTGTTTTGTGTGAAAAAGGAATGAACTGTTCCACACTGGTGGAAAGATGGAGATGATTTTTAGATGTTTGTGTTTTAGGATTTTGTCCATTTTCTTTTAAATTATATGCATGTACTTGGGTGGATGATTTTTTTTTAATGATTTTGCCATTGTTAAAAGGGTATTTAATGATTGAATACCATTTAGCCTACATGTACTGACATAAAAAGACATCAGAGGTATATCAAGTGGCAAAACACTATGTGTAGAATGAGCCAAGTGAAGGTGTGTGTATTTTATATACATATAGAACAGAAGATTGGAAAGATAGGCACCAAACTGTTAAATGTGGTTTCTCTTGAAAGGGGGTGGGGGGATGGGACCCAGAGGGGCTTTATAAGGGCCTTTCACTTTCTACTTTTTTCATTTTGTTCTGTTTGAATTTTTTATAAGTATTATTACTTTTGTAATCAAAATTTTTAGAAAGTATTTTACTGATTTAAAGGCTTAGGCATGTTCAAACGCCTGCAAAACTACTTATTGCACAGCTTTAGTTTTCCTAATCCAAGAAGGCAGGGCAGTTAACCTTTTTGGTGCCAATGTGAAATTTAAATGTTTATATGTTTTTCCTGCTTTGTGGATGAAAAATATTTCTGAGTGGTAGTTTTCTGACAGGTAGACCATGTCTTCTCTTGTTTCAAAATAAATATTCCTGATTTTGTAAAATGAAATATAAAATATGTCTCAGATCTTCCAATTAATTAGTAAGGATTCATCTTTAATCCTTGCTAGTTTAAGCCTGCCTAAGTCACTTTACTAAAAGATCTTTGTTAACCCAGTATTTTAAACATCTGTCAGCTTATGTAGGTAAAAGTAGAAGCATGTTTGTACACTGCTCGTAGTTATAGTAACAGCTTTCCATGTTGAGATTCTCATATCTTGTATCTTAAATTTCATGTGAATTTTTACCGTTAGGATGCTTAAGATGTATATAGGATAAAATGTCAAGTCTTCACCTAAGTTTTTTGTTTTCTTGTCTAGTAATAGTAGCAGATACTTCTGGAATGTTCTCCCAAGATCCTTAAAAACTTCTTGGAAACTATAAAATACTGACAAGAAAAGAAGAATAGTTTTTTGAATATTAAAGAGAAAATAAAGCTTGAGTAAGAATCAATATAGGTTAAAAAGATAAAAGTTTAAAAACGCCTCATAGAACACCCAGGCAAAGATCCTCACAACAACCTGTTGTAGAGGTGAGTGAGGCATTTTACTGTAGAGAAAAGTTTGAGAGTAAAACTGTCAGTAGTTATATTTTTGTTGTATTTTCTAAGAGAAAGAGTATTGTTACGTTCTCTTAACCTCTGTTAATTACTACTTTGATATTCATTTAAAGCATTACAAATTTAAATGAGAATTTTTAAAGTCAAATAATGACCGTCCTGTTTTTGTTTTACTATGTAAATCCTCAGTTCTTTACTTTTGCACTTTCTTCCACTTAGATTTAGTTATATATTCATTAAAAGTTAAATTTTATATGTATAATCTAAGCTTTAAATTTAAACAAATTACAAGGGGAGAAAAGTGTTAAAGGTTTAAAAATGTGTTTTCCAGGACACGTCAGCTCCAAGTCAGGTAGTTGGTTCAATCTAGTTGTTGTCCAAGGACTGAATTGCTTTAACATAAGGTTTTCCAGTTCTGGGAGCCTCAGTTCTTTAAAACTCTTAAAACTTGTATGTTTAGACTTAAGCAAGACCTTTTTTCTCCCCATGAGTTGTGAAATTTAATGCATGAAGCTGATGTGGCTAACAAGTTTATTTTAAGAATTGTTTAGAAATGCTGTTGCTTCAGGTTCTTAAATCACTCAGCGCTCCAACTTCTAATCAAATTTTTAAAGACTTACCAATGTTTGCCTGTGTTTGCACTGTGAAAAGCACTGGATCCTTCCCATCTCTTTGTGCAAAGAATGATCACTTGCAACGTCAAAAATACAGCCAGAAAAAAAAAATACAGCCAGATCCAAATCTCAGCCTCCCCCTTCCCAAAACTTCCTTTTCTGTATAAAGTTCACTCTAAGATTTCAAAGGCACCGCCTATTTTACTACATTTTAGTCATGTGAAGAGTCAAGTTTTATAATAAATAGTTGTCTTTATTCATAATAACCTGGTGTGCTGATCAAAAGCCTTGTCTTAATTTTTGAGAAATGAGTTTAGTGTTTATAAATTCCAGTTTATTAAGTAATGGCTTTGTATTACCTTTCCTCCTAGATTTTCGTTTATTTTCCCTTGGGTTAGGGGCTAAGATGGAGTAGGGTGGGTGTAGTGAATGTATGTGATGTGATTTGGCCCTGTGTATTACAATCTTTTGTTGTTTTATCACTTAAATGTTGGTAGTTTTCTTCCTGGTTTTCATTTTAGTGGGTAAAATTGGTATTTTGAATGGAGACTATCACCACAGCATTAGTTCCACGTATTGTACCCTTTAGACTGAAATCATTGTTATATTTCCTGATTACCCAGTTGGTTGAATATGGGGGAAAGGGGTGGAGGGATTGGAGAAATAGGATAGGTTGTATATCATTTCCATTAGACAAAGAAGAAAATGGGATGGAATATTTGACAGATATGGTTTTTAGCCACATCTGGTTTAGAAAAGAAGAAAAGAGGTAACCATTTCTTCATCTGTGAATTGCAAATAGTACCTGTCTTACAAAATTATAAGGGTTGAAGGAGACCGTATGTGTAAAATACTTGTTATAAATGTTAATTCCCTTCCTGACACTTTTTTACCTTCCATGGATTTGCCTTGACTCTGGAAATTAGAGCTAAAACTTAGATAATAACTCTTTCACTCACTTTTAATTCATCTTTCTCATTGTTTGTCATAGTTAAGATGCAAATTACAGTACACAAGTAGGTCAAATCCTTAAAAATATTTAAATTCCTTTTATAAAAACTTGAAATAATATTATCAAATTTAGTTGAGCTTTTCTAATAGAAACAATTGGCTTAGTCCCACTTTTATAATCAGTTCCAGTTTGGCTTAGCACAATGTGCATTTCACTTTCAGCATAACAGAATCATAGGATGTCAGCTAGAAGTGACCTTAGAGAGTATCTAATTCATTCCCGCCCCCCCCCCTTTTTTTTCTTCTCTTCTTTTTTTTGGCATTTATTTATATTAGTTGGAGGCTAATTACTTTACAATATTGTAGTGGTTTTTGCCATAAAAAAAGATGAACCATCTGAGGCTCAAAGGTGAAATGATTCGTTCAAAGCTACATAGCTAATTAGTGATAGCCCAGACTGGGACATATTTTGATGGTGAAAAACTTCAAGCTACCTCTCTAGGGAGGTCTCAAATGTTTATTTTTTCAACTATTCTTTGTTCTATACCATAACATTCACTACATATTAAATGACACTTTATAACTAATACAGTAGGACAATCTTAAATACATATGGCTTCAAATTGTACAATACTGCATTAATGTTTTGGTGGTAAGATTCTATTTTGAAGTCTAAAGTTTGCAGAAATGCATATAGATTTTGTTTCATTTACTACATTCTTCTTGTGTATCATTAATTGTGTATCATTGTGTTTGTGTATCATTTAAAATTACTATGTAAGTATATTTTGTCATTCTGTCTATACTTAGTAACAAATTTGCACTTTTTATTTGATGTAGCAAAGGCTTTAATGTAATTTTGTTAGAAGATTTTGCATTACCTTTATACTTTATATCTAACCTGACAGAGTGACTGATTCTTATGTCGTTGTAATACTGTTGTGAATAATCACGTGAAATGTGTGAGATAGAGTACTATATTTGTGAATATAATTTTATGGCTGTTTTCATTTAGTAGAAACCTTTCCATCAGTATGGAAAACTAAGAAAATTGCTTTCTACTGTATAATCTGGCAGTCACCATAGATTAAAGCTTATTTTTCTGTGAATAAAAACTTATCCAATAAAGCACTATTCTTTAAGATGATAACTTATTACTTTGTATTTGTTTCACGTCCTCAGAAAAAAAAATAGCCCCCTTAAAAATATTAATACTAAAATGTAACCTCCCAAATATATCCTATGCCATTATGGGGCCAGACATTAAGGTACACATCAAGTCATGTGATATTAAAAAAAAGACATCTGCTTTCACATTAGTTTATAGCATTCTATAAGTACATGAAAAGTTTATTTTTAGTTTTGTGTAAAAATATGAAACTCCCTCTCTACAAAGATTGGCCTGGTTGACTCAAGAGATACTATAGTCACCTTAACAAGGCTTGAATAAGCAAGAGACCTAAAAAGCCACTACCCCTTTGAGGCAAGCAGCAGAGAAGAATTTTTGTGAGTCTACAGAAGCAGCTGCCCAGAATTTCGGAAACTGCAAGCAAATCTGGTAGGATAAAAAGCAAGGGAATTTAAAAAAAAAAAGCAAGGGAATGTAATTATCCTTCAATAAAAAATTAATTAGGAAAAAAGTGAGGAAATAAAGGCTCCTCAAAGGGAGAGGGAAATTTAGAAAAGGGCATTTCAAGTGCTATTTCCCCTACCCCTTCCTACCCACAATGGAGGTGCCTAAATTGAGAGTTGTATTTCAGGCCTAGTCT